CAGAGAGAGAGAGAGAGAGAGAGAGAGCTAGAGAACGAGAAAGGGAGAGAGAGAGAGAGAGCAACGTCAACTCTGGGACCTCCCTCCTACTCCTCCCCCTCCTCGCCCTCCTCCTCCTCCTCCTTCCTCCTCCTCCTCCTTCCTCCTCCTCCTCCTCCTCCTCCTCCTCCTCCTCCTCCTCCTCGTCCTCCCCCTCCCCCTCCCCGTGGGGCCCGTGGCCCCGCGGGCCTCCTGCTTCGGCCACAGGTGCGGCTTCGTCCCCACCGCCTCGGGCCACTTGTCTGGCGAGAGCCGCTCCTCCCGGGGGCGGCGGGCCGGGGCCAGGGGCCAGCAATGCTCCATGGCCACCCGAGCGAGGCCAGTGCCGCGAGCACGGGGCCTCCTCCTCCTCCTCCTCCTCCTCCTCCTCATCCTCCTCCTCCCCCTCCTCCTCCTCTCCTCCTCCTCCTCCTCCTCCTCTCCTCCTCCTCCTCCTCCTCCTCCTCCTCCTCCTCCCCCTCCTCCTCCCCCTCCTCCTCCTCCACACGCGGAGCAGCTCCCAAGCCCATGCCAGCGTCGGGGGGCCCATCTCCGATGGGCCTGCGGGTCTGGGCGGGGCGGCAGTGCTTCCAGCTCCGCGTGGCTCCCAGGCCCATGCCTGGGAGAAGACTGCGCTGCACGATCACAAACTGTTCTGGAGGTCCGCGCGGACCTCTCGGATCGGCGCTGTAAATAACGGGATTCGATACATCTAGACATAGATGTAGAGAGATATAGATATGATGGCTGTGTGTCTCTATATGGATGTGTATCTGTGTATATATATATATATATATCGACTCCCATCTCAAGCGCTCTAGGGGACGGCACCAGAGTCGCCGACAGGGGTGTCGGGCCTGGCGCCGACCCAAGAAATCCGCTCGGACTTCCGAAGGCTATGCTCATGCAGATGTGTCCCCACCCGTCTTGCGCACGGCCGACCCTAGGACAGAAGCACACCGAACAGCCAGGGATACCCACCCAGGATGCGCAAGAGCATCCAGCAAACACGAAAAACATGAGGGCACCCTCCTCGAACCGACTCCGCTCTTATGCCTCGCTCCGGCCGTAGCCGAGCCCCCGCCTTGAATCCGCAGCCCCGCGCTCCACCTCATCTCCTTCCCCTCCTCCTTCCTCAGCTCTCCGCGCGTCCATTCCGGCACACCCCTCACACGTTTCGCGGCCCCCCTGGGAGCTCCACCCCTGGCGCAAATTGGTGCATTCGCATATGTTCCCCCCCGCCCATTTCGGCACACCCCTCAAGCGTTTCGTGGCCCCACCAAGAGCTCCACCTTCGGCCGCAGTGGGTGCGTTTGCATGCGGTCCCCGCCCACTTCGGCACACCCCTCCCGAGGATCGTGCCCACATAGGGAGCTCCGCCGACGGCGCCAGCTGGTGCGTTTGCATGCCGCCGCCCCGCCCATGTCGGCACACCCCGTACACGTTTCATTGCCCACAGGGAGCTCCGCCTACGTCGCCAGTGGGTGCGTTTCCATGCCGCTGCCCCGCCTGCTTCGGCACACCCCCCACACGCTTGGGTGACCCCACCAGGAGCTCCAACCGCGGCACCGGCGAGGGAGCCAGAGCATCGCCCACCAGCCCGTTTCGGCATACCCCTCACGCAATTCGCGCTCCACAGGGTTGGAGCTTCATCTATCGGGCACGCGCTGACATGTCTAGGGATCCGCGGATCTGATGCGTTGGCGCCAGAACCATGGATCGGGGAGGGCACCCCTGAAACATGAGGCCAACGCAGCCTGGTTTGGCACGGAGCGCCCCGACTCTGCACAGAGATAGGAGCCGCCGGTAATCCACGACCCTCACCATGGTTGCGCTCCCTCGACTCTACGGCACCAATTGATCAACGAACAACGCACAGTCAAGCCTGCAGGGAGGAGGAATCGGGAAGGACAAGGCGATGAACACGAGACAGATGTGGGCCCGAATTGTCACCCCGAGGGGGGGGGGGCTCCCGCTCGAGCGGGGACCCTTATCCGACAATCACACCCCAAGCCCCCCTCCCCCCGGGAATTCCTGCACAGGAGTTCTGAGAGACGTACAGGTACGGCCGAGGTACTTCCAGAAGGATCGCTGCATGGGGGACCGAGCTTGTTTCGTTTGCCCCCAGGGGCGCCTAGGTGCACGAGCAGGGCTCGAGGAGCGACCAGGGAGCGACCTGCAGAACAGCGAGCGCCTCCTGAACCCGAGGCGGCCCTTAGTTCAGCGAGTTGACTGTGGGATTGCCAGTGTGGCGCACCCTCGCCGCGGCCCCTGCTGCTGCCACGACCCCTGCTGCCACGGCTGGCCGCACCGGCCCACTCGACGCTGAAGTCTTCCGCACCTGAGTGCCCTCCTCCTCCTCCTCCTCCTCCGGTCCTCCGCGCGGCCGCCCTTGTCCCATTTTCCCCTCTTGCACGCTGGCCAATTCGCCTCTCGGTCGTCCCGAATCGCCACCCGCTGGAGCAGCTTCTCTGCCTCGCCGCTGACGGAGAGAAAAAGTCAGCACTGTCAGCTCGTGGCCCGTGAGCGCACCCGCACGTCGCCACCCCGCGCCGCTCAGCACCCCCCCCCCACTCGCCGCACGCCCCGAGCGGGGCCCTCGGACCCGCCGCTGCGCGCCTGCCTGCCCCGCGGCCGCCGCATGACGGAGCTGCCCCCCCCGGCGGCGCGCCGCACGGCCATGCAGGGTCAGCCAGCACCGAACCAGCAGATCGGATCGGAGCTTGGGAGCCCACAGTCGTCGAGCACAGAAGAGCCCCCAACCCTAAGAGCACGACGAAGACGTGGCCTCAGCGAGGTCCCCGTCTTCGCATCAGGGATGAGAGCTCTGGGCGGCCTTGGTTCGGTACATCTGCAGAAAGGACCCCCCTATCCCTAATGCTTCTGGCCCTCCTAACGTGGGTCCCCTTCCAGAGGATCCGGGGTCCTTTCTCGGCGTACAAGAGACGTGCGCGCCCAACCACGTACATGAACACGCCCCGCCCGTCTGCCGCGTGATACAAGCGGTCGCGCAGTGCGTACTCTCGAAACCAGTGTGGACTAGTGCACGTGTACGTCCGTCCTTCGCTCCAGAGAACGTGCGTCGGATCGGGCCGCATGGGCATGGAGTCGGAATGGGATCGAATCGGCCGCGCCAAGACGTTCGACGAGGCCATGCAAGCATCGCGCCGAATCGGGCCGTCCGACTATCGGACTCGGATCGGACTGGGCCGGCCGAAATCGAGATCGAAGCGGACGATCGAATCGGCGTGGACCCTGTCATGTGGGGGCCACGGGCCACGTCCTGCACCGAACGCATCTGCACAGTGCTGGGTACGTCACCCGGCTGTTCTTCTTTGAAGGGCAGCGGGAAGGGACCGGAAGGCATCGGCCGGCCCCCGTCTGGCTCGAGAACCGAGGGCCAACAGCAGAACGACCAGGGAACACCGAGCCCCTCCCCAACGAAGAGAGGGTTCCTTCTTCAGGGCCCCGACTGTACCCCGCGTGCCGGGCTGAAGCGTGGTGGGCCACAGCGGGCGGCTCCACACGCTAAAGAAACGCTCCTGAACGGGCACTCTGCGCCCAAAGAGGGCACGACGCAGACGGGTGCAGATGGGAACGGGCCCCGGACCCCGGGGCCTCCTCTCGGGACCAGCTCCTCATCCCCCCAGCCGTTGCTGGGCGGTCCCGCGGCCCGTGGAAAGACCCGAGGACACAAGACGACAGAAACATTCAAGGGCCCGCTTCCCGCAGGACCCGTTTGGTGACACGGCTGGCTCCGGAAAACCTGGAACCCGAACACACTTGCCATCTCCTCCGCCGGCTGTGCGAACCCGCCGGCTTCCGCTGGCCTTCTGCTGGTTTCCGCCAGCGAAGCCGCCCTTCGTTTTGCCTCCGCCGCCTTCCGCAGGCCGTCCGCCGAGGAAGAGATACCAACCTCCATGAGATCCGACGCCGCGCGCTAATTGCACCATCGTGCACAAGCCACGACCAGAGCACTGGACCACCCCTTTGCGTAGTATTTTCCGAAGCGGATCGATCTGTGAGGGTCCTGGAGCCCGGAATCGGGCGAAAACCCGCGTCTGCGAAAAACTGCGACACCAGCGGAGCCTCGACGGCAGGACGCTCCCTGGAACGCCTCACAACACCACGAGCCCTGCGCCCCGACAGCAACGCCGTACGCTCCTGGGCGGGGTGGACTGGCACGCCCCTATCGGCGATGAGTGGGCGATCGGGGGTCGATGCGTCACCCCTTGAGCCTGTTCCCCCACCCCCCCTAGCGTTGCTCCTGACGTTGCCTTTGACGTTGCCTAACGCTGCCTTGGACCCGTTCCCTACCCGGCGAGCCCGGCGCCCCGATCGTGCGCGGCCAACGACTCGCCACCGCCTCGGCCGCGACCTCCATTGCCGTCCCCGGGGCACGGCGAAAGCCCTTGGACGGCGGGAAGGGCGAACAAAAACACGGCCCGAATTTTGTCAATGCTGTCGAGATCTGGGCACAGGACCCGTTTGCAACGTGGCGAACCCGGCAACCCGATTTTGGACGCCCAAAAAGGGCACGGAAAACAGGGGCATGTACCACAACCGATAGCGGCCACAGTAGGGCAGGCGAGCTTGCGTCTCAAGTGCACAAGGGCCGCGGCGACGCCGACAGCGAATCTTGGTCAGAATGAGCACGACCTGTTGGATGTTGTGCACAGTGTTTCAGTATTGTGTCATATCCCCCGGAAATCCTCCGCGGGCACCGGCTCGCCAGCGGCCGCCTCGGCCGCGCCCTCCACCGCCATCCCCGGGGTGTCGTCCAGCGGCAGCTCGGCTCCGCCCGCAGCCACCCTCTTCATCGAACCTGCGGGGCGGGGGGGAGGCCGGCTCCGAGGCGGGGACTTGCCCACATCTACTCTATACATATAATTATACATAAGCCGTTTAGAGACTTCAAACACACGTACTGAATCCAGCACCATTGTGGCCAGGTCGTTACAACAACGGCGATCGAGGTGCCCAGGTGGCACGCCCCACTCACCTGCCCGATTGTGAGACGCGGGCTGTGGGTGGCCATCGGTGCTGGAAGGGACGAGGACCGCCCTTGTGGGGGCGATCACCTTGGGAGCAGCTGGAAGTGGACTGGAGCAGACATCGACTCGACGGAGCACGACCTGGAGATTCTTACACTTCAATCCACTCACTGCCCGCACTACGGAGAGGTTGGAGGACATTGACCACGCCTGCGCGACCTTCGACTTCGTCAGCTTCAGTGGTACCCAGCGTCGGACCGACTTGCCACTACAACAACAGAACGCTGGAGAACGCTGGCGACTGGAGAGTGGATGGACACGAGCATCGATGACCAACAAGTCGGCGGGGATACTGTTCAGTTTTGGACGCAAGCTACGGCCACGGCACGTACGACGAGTGCCGGCGGCCCCAGAGCAATGTCAACGGCGGGGACTGGCGGCGCGACTGACATCGCGACAGTTCGACTATACCTCTATGGGCAGTACATACCGCCCCGCCCGACCACGATACAGGGACAAACACACACACACACACACACACTATACGAAAGATGTATGGACACTATGATGGATTGGCTTCAAGAGATACCTCAACAGACGCCCAGCCGAAGCGTGACCATCATCACCATCGACCTCAACGACGGCCTTGGAATGACACTGACCGAGAATGGTAGGGGATACTACTTCGTCGATACGGATGCAGTACACCAGCCTGGAGCCAGAAAGGAACACTATGCAGGGCGGCGCTTCAGGGAAATACTGCAGGGCCATGCGATGGTGGCGACCACGACACAAAAGGCGGACGACACATGGTATGGCAAATTGTGACAACAGCTCTTTGGTGGATTCCGTTTGTATACCTCAGTCTATGAGCAGGTAGGAACTCAATTCTGTATCGCTGGCGGGGCTTGAAGGGCATTGCAACAGATACCGAACAAATCCAAACGAGACCATCTGCCTGTTTATGTCAACTTACGTGTACCCACAATCTCGGAACAACGACAACGGGAGCAGACGCTAACGTGGAACGCCGAGACGATGATGCAAGCCTACACTGGACGCGACCAGGAATCGAAGAGCAATTTCATTGAGGAGATGGAACTCACGCTGGAACACAACTGGGACGAGCTGCTGGACTACGCGAACCGCGTCTCGCCAGACTATCTCCTCGAAAAGCTTGAGGACACGCTGATCCACGTGGGACAACAATTCTTCCCACGAGAACCCGAACGAGACGGACGATACAAAGCACTACGAGAACGACGCATGCTACTGCTCAAGGCCCGCAGGGAATACAGGCTACATCATGATGAACAGTCCCAAGAAGAGGAGCAGGGGGTGATTCACTGACTGAAGAGGCTCTCAGCTTACATGCGGAAGGAACGTGAACTGGAATGGAAGCACTACCAGGACGAACTGCTGGAACAAGTATGGGACACTTGGCGAATCCGAAATATGGCGGACGTCTATCGACTGGTGCGACGGGCGGCAAGCACGAAGTACGGGGTGACGAAACGACATCACATTGTGGACAGAATTTTGGCAACGCCCTGGACCTGACGGCGGCATGGCGGCAACTTTAGTGGAGGAATGGAATGACTGGCGAACGACACTACAGCCAGGAGCGCACAAGCCTGCGGTACTTGATGAATCATATCGTCGAAACGCTTTGCGAGATCTCCGACGGCTGGGGCGATGGATCAGGAGGGCCCCAAAGAGAAGGACACAACCGCCCCATTAGAGCTCCTAGCCATCTTGACGAACCCGACCGGGCGGAAAGGACCCGCAAGCCTCGGAGCTCCTGAAGAACCTCTGAGCGCCCCGCGTTTTCGAGCTGTCCTGGAGGATGGCCTGCTTAGGATTAGGCAGAGTGGTATGACCCCGGGTTACTGGCATCTGAGCAAAGGCGTCACGCTGCCCATAAAGGTGACGGCCCGTTCTTTAGGAGGCACCGCCAAGGGTACCCGACCAATTCATCTGTTGGCGCCTCTCGGCAAGAGATGGTACGCTGTTCAGAGCAGTGCACCGAGCATGCCATCACAAGTGCATGGTTTCATGGAAGACAGCTCGAAGGAAGCGGCGATCACAGCTGCACAGTGCACAATGTGGCGCGCGCGCAAGCAAGCAAGGCCGCACGAGCATCTCACAGTTGCATGATTTGAGCAATGCGTTCGGCAGGTCTCATGACAGGAATTCGATGAGGCCCAGCCTGAGCTTATGTGGGCGAGGAGCTGCAAAGCCTGGGCGGACAAAGGTACCGCGAGGCAGTAGTGCAGCTTCCCAGTGAGGACGGCAAGATCACGCATCGGATTGGGTGTGGCCCGTTTATGGGCGACCCGTACGTTGTGCGTGTGTTCCTTCTTGTCTTCCAGAGCGGGGTGAATGTATGGCAGCATCGCATGAAACAGTCAGGTAGCGATGTTGGCAATTGCATCACGGAGAGCCCATTTACAGGCCGAGACGTGGACCTCTCGCTATGCCGATACGCAGACGCTAGATTAAAATGTTTGGTGGCTGAAGAAATTGAGCCCCTGGAGTCTCTAGCTCAACGTAGTTCTCTCGAAAACAGTGCTCTGGACAACCCTCTAGAGACGATCGGCTGTCGGCAGAACCGCGAAAAGCAGGACATCCTCCCCTCCCGAGACGGGGTCCCTTGCGAGAGTCCCTGTGGAGATGTTCCCGAGCGAACATGATCCCAAGAACCCCAAGCCCAATAACCCTTCCAACGAGAGCCCCTGCAATGCAAAACGACGGAATGCAATGCGAAGCGCGCAGCAGCTCAATGCACATATATATATATATATATATATGTATACATATATGTGTATGTATATATATATATACATAAATAGTAATATACATACTCATATAACTGTATTTTCGTACGTATATAAACGTAAATCAGCTCACAAACATATACATACATGCGCATGGCCATATGCACCTGCATAATCAATGCCATGCGTACAAACACCTACATACACACATACTAACTTACATACATGCATACACATACATACATACACGCATGCATGCATGCATACATGCATATGTACACGCATACATATGTTCATGCAGACACACACATATGAGGAAGAGGGGGATGCAGTGAAACACGGCACGCCCACATATAGCGTGCATGCACTACTATATGTAAAACTGTAGGTCAAATGTGTAAAAGAGCAAGCATTGTACATACGAATGGCGTGTACATGTATATGTGCGCGTGTGTGTCCGCGTGTGTGTTGCATTGCCTTTTTGGCCCTGCAAGGTTTAGCGTTGCCTTTTTGTTTTAGCGTTTTTTTTCTAACACCATGTGGTAGCACTGTGTTTTTTTTAGCGGTGGCGATGTGACACAGCCAAAATGGCGCAACATGATATATTTTGATATATTTTGAAATCCCACTGCTCGTTTAGCGCCAGAAGAACTTCTGGGGAATAGCGTCTTCACCCGGAATAGCGTTTTCACAGGAAATAGCGTCTTCACCCGGAAAAGCGTTCTTCACCCGGATTGTAATCTTCACCCGGGATAGCGTCAATCTTCACCCGGAATAGCGTCTTCACCCGGAATAACGTCTTCACCCGGAATAGCGTCTTCACCCGGAATAGCGTCTTCACCCGGAATAGCGTCTTCACCCGGAATAGCGTCTTCACCCAAAATTGCGTTTTTAGAAGTAGCGTCTTCATAGGGGAAGTATTGTCTGTGTCCGCAGAACGCTTATTCACCCGTATAGAATCTTCTCCAAGAATAGCGTCTTCACGCGGAATAGCGTCTTCACCGTCTTCACCGGGAATAGCGTCTTCACCGGGAATAGCGTCTTCACGCGGGATAGGGTCTTCACCGTCTTCACTGGGAATAGCGTCTTCACAAGGAATAGCGTCTTCACAGGGACGCGTTGTCACAGGGAAAGCGTCTTGAAATAGCGTCTTCGGCGCCGGCGCGAACTGGGAACCCCGTTTGCCGGGGCAATGTGTATATACGTGTATAGATATGTACATATATATATATATATATGTGTAAATATGTATATATATGCACTTCTATATGTACGTATGTATGTACGCGTGTAATTCTACATGTATATAGATGTACATGTATCCATGATGTCCTATCTATATGTATCTAAATACCTATATATATATACACACGTACACATACTAGCGTGTGCCCGTGGGTTTTACCAACAGAGCTGAGCGGGTCAAGGCTTGGTGGCGCGCGCTGGATGGTGCGTGGCTGTCAGCTACTGCCGCAATTCCTTCGAAGCTTGTTCTGGCGCTCCCTCACTAGAAGCACCTCATGAACTGATGTGGGGGCCGAGGTGTTCGAGATTCGCGAAAGCAAGAGGTTACAGAACCCAGGCTGGAGCAGCGTTTGACGATTCTTGCCGGGATCGCGGTGGATGCGGGAGCGGGCCGGAGCGAACGCATCGCCGTCTCGGGCCGCGCCGGAGGTGCGGCAAAGTAAGGACCGCAGCAGGGCAGCGCTCCGAATCAAGATGTCGCTGCTCATGTTGCGAAACATTGCCTCTCTTGCTCACCACCGCTCCTGCGGAGCAGGGGTCGTCGTCGTCGCCCGGGAAACAGATATGCAGCACGACCAGCGCGTCAACAACTGTTGTCTTGCGGCCGCGAGGGGCCTCTAGCCTCTCGTCCGACCCACTCTATTGGAGGCAATTTTGAAGCCTTTAGTGGACCGTTCGTGAGCCCCTCGGGTGCATTTTTTTGATTTGAGCAGGGACAGGCCGTCCTGGCATTCCTGTAGGCCTACCACAGCATGTTCTTGGAACCTAAAAATATTTGAACAACACACAAACAATGTTCTTATAACATAAGCCCGATGTGTTGAAGCAAGACAGACTCAGCCAGAAATGTTCAAAGAACATTCCGTGGAGACCACAAAAGGTTCTTAGAACATTCTATGGTAGGCCTATAGGCACGCCAGGACGCTTCGTCACTGTTTGATTGATAGCACCTAGGACCTAGGACCTAGGACCTAGGACGCTTCGCCACCGGCAGTTTGCTTAGGACCTAGGACGCGTTGTGCTCGACATTGGCAAGGCGAATTCTTGCTTACCTCGAACCTGCAAGTCCCGGCGATCGCGAGGACGCCCCCAGATACATTTTGGACGGTGAAAAAAATCGACACGCTGAGGCCCTGGCAGTGGCGGGCGACGCCCCCCGGCACTCTACAAGCTCTGCTATACAAGAAAATCCCTCGGACGTGCACGCGGCAATCGGGCAGTGCTGCGCCCTCCAGCTGACAGCCTGCGCCCCTCTTCTTCCCTTCCGCCATCCCCCCCCACCGGCCCACCCACCTGGCGCTTATCGCTTGCTTGCAGGTTGCCGAACAGCGGACCACCAAGCACAATGTCGGCTGGTGGCTGGTTACCATTCCCCCTCTCACGTATATGATGTCTGATTGATTCATCCCTACATCCCCCCGGCCATCGCCTAGCGGCACACAGCACAGAAAGATGCCACGACAAGGCCACTGCAGAACGACGCCTGCATTCCCCCGCACACCTGCTGCTGCCGAGCTGCGAGCAACCGCAATGCCTGACAGCGCCAGACGGACACAGCTCCAGTGTTCGAGCTGGCTGGTGACCGAGGAAGCGTGCAATAATGCCACTGATGTCACATAGAAGGAACGGTGCGGCAAACCGCGCATAAAGACACCGAACGCAAACTGCAACAAAGTGCTTGTTGAAACGGCAACTGCCAGCAATCGTACAAAGTTTCTGTAAAAAGTGTTTGAATTGGCACAATTCTGAAAAGGACAGTTAAACAGCCACTGGCTCTAAGCTTGCTTCGTAAGTGCCGGCGCCTCCACGGGGCCGACGGATTGCACTGAGAATGAAAATTGAGTCAAACGCTCCACGGGGCAGAACGTCTGAGCGAATAGGATCTCAGGCGAAAATGTGCAGCGACCTTACCAGCGCTGATGGCAAAATGGCCTGGAACTCAGGGCAAAAAAAGGGTGTGATTCACGCCGAACGGCCTGCAAGCGAGGGCACGGACGCCACGGTCAAGCTCCGGCCCAGGGGTCGCTGGAGCACCTCTCGAAGAACTTCTCGAACACCCGCGAGTGGAGGTCCTTCCCCAGCCTGAGGACTCTCGGCCCACTCGCCGCCGCCGTCGGCGGCCGCGCCCGACCCTCGCTGGCCACGCCTCCGACCACTCCGCCCGCAGACTCGCGCGCTGGTGCGGGGGGGGCGGCAAGCCCGCGGGCGACCACCGGCGCGCCGCACACTTCTGGGCACGCGGGCGCAGGCCGGCGCGCTGGCGCCGCCGGCCGCGCCGCAGGCTTCGGGGGGGCGTCGAGCTGGAGGCTGGGCGGGAGCTCCAGGCCGGGGGGTGGCTTCAGCATGTCCCAGAAGGCACAGGCGCGCGGCGGAGAGGAAGGTGGATCTCGAACGGCGGCCCGGCGATCTTGCGACGCGAGGCGCATCTCCAGCAGTGGGGCACTGGCCGGAGGCATGCGAAGCAGCTCGGGGCGCCTCTCGCCCCTGGCAGCCGCGACGCGCTTGGCGAGTACCACCGCTGCCAGCAGGAGGCCCAAATCGTCGTGCATGCCGACGTCCCCCTCAGGGGCGCGACTGCCGCTGCTGCCGCACCTCTCCGGGAGGCTGCCTTTGGACATGTACTTCGGACGCCCAGTGACAGCTTCAGACACGACCTTCTCCTCCGCGGAGCCCTTCCCCAGCGCCGGCGCCTGCGCAACCGGCCCGGGCGCCGTCGTGCCCTCGGTGGACGCGGGCGGCCTGCGCGTCGTCACGGCCTCGAGCCCCGGCGCGCGTTCCTGCGGCAGGGCCGTGTTGGACCAGAAGAGCGGGCTCGCGCTGCCGCAGGGCTGGCACGGCAGCCCGTGCCCCACCGGCGCGTCGGTGAACTGGTGGAGGGCGGCGGCGAACTGCGGAAACCTGAGCCTCTTCCCCCGCCAGATGACGACTGGCATGCCCTTGCCGTGCCCGCACTCCGTGAGGTGGATCAGGTTGCTTTCCAGCCCCTGTCTGCGGGCTGGGAACACACGGCACTGCTGCGATGTCATGCGGAAGTGATACTCGCTTAAGACCTCGCGACACCGTTTCGCCCCATCCGCGTCACAGAAGTTCAGGAACGCATAACCGAAGTTGTAATTGTTACGCGAGTCCCAAGGCAAAAAAAAGAAATTGAAATCGGCCATGCTGCCCACCGCGTCCTGAATCTCAGTCAGGAGCTGCTCCTGGGTGCACCTTCGAGGCACACTGCGGAGCATCAGAGTGGTGATGGGAAAATTGATCATTCCGAACATGGTCCCGCCCGCCATGGCCACCTGAGCCCGGATAGTAGCAGCTGAAACAGCTCTGCTCGAAACGTGCCAGCGTAAGCCAAGATGGCTTGCGCCAAAATGGCTGCGGACCCTCTCGGGTGCTCTTTTGGGGATCGTAGGGGCCTCTCGGGGCCGTCTTGGGCAGTGTAGGGCACCTCTTAAGCCGTCTTGGGACCGTCTTGGGCCAACTTGGGCGCCTCTTGGGCCGCCTTGGGGCCATCGTGGGCTGTCTTGGGTCCCTTGGACCCCGCTTAGGGTCCTCTTGGGGTATTTCTTGGGCCGTTCTGGGGCCGTCTGGAGCCATGTTTGGGACCTCTTGGGGCAATCTTGGAGGCTCCTGGAGCCGTCTTGCACGCTTCAAAAAGCAGGAAAGCGCATCTGCTGAGCATGTCATTTTTCAGGGAGGAGTGTGGCGATTGTTGCTCAGTGGAGCCCTCTTGGGGGCCCCCCTTGCGCTCTCTGAGCGCGTTTTGGAAGCTTCTCGGGCAAAGGGGATGATGTCTGGAACCGCCTTTGGCTGTTTGGCGGGCTGCTTGGGGGCTGAAAAAGGTTTCTGGGGCTCCTCGGGCCGCTGTGGAGCCGTGTGGATGATTTCTGGAGCCGTCTGCGGCCGCTTGGGGGCCCTCTTGGGGCCGCTTTGGCGTCTAGGGTGCAGGCCCATCCCAACCCGCCAGGCACCCTTCGAATATGGTTCGACCTATATATATATATAGACATACATACACAAGGCTGCATTGGCGCTTCGCGCCATGCACCTTGTTCCTTGAAGCTTTGGAACGGTTGGTCTGTCGCGCCTTCCTCTTTTCCCTGTGAGGCGTGCTCGCTGACTCGTATCACGTAGAAGAAGGGAAGGGAAGAAGGGGGCAGTGGACGGGCGAAGGCTGAATCGGAGACCACGGGCGCACGGAATGGCGTAAATGGAAAATACTGAAATCCTGGGTGCGCAACAGGAATGTCCGAAAAAATTGTTGCGAACCTGGGGTTGTGGGCAAACTGCGGCTTTCCGTGATGAAATACCATCAGAGCGGGCGAGAACTCAGGGATCTACATGGGGGCCTGCCGAAGCGGTGTGGGGGCCGTGTGGCCCATCTCGGAGCCACCTCGGACTGTCCTCGCGGCGTCTTGGGACTGCCGCTCGCCCGTTTGCACGCTTAGGTGAGCGTTGAGAAGGCGCCCTGGGGAGCTGGAATTCGTGAGTGGCCCTGTTGAGGACCGCCCAGACGGTGTCCCCAGCCTGTCATGGAGCCGCCTATGTGCAGTATGGGAGTCGTCTAGGGCCCTCACGGCGCCTTCCTAAAGAATAAGGATGCTGATTTGGCTTGTGTTGGGGCGTCTCCTGGCCGTCAGGGCGCCTCCCATGGACAGTTTTGGGGCCGTCCCGGTCCCTCGTAAAGCCACTTTGGGAATTCAGGAAGCGCGTTTGGGTTTAGTTGTGGCGATGTTCGGAACGCCCGGCAGGCCGAAGGAGCGAATGGTAGTAAATCTTTCAATATCATTGAGTATCAACGAGTTTCAGGTTCGAGCGCGTGTTGGAGGTAACTTCTGGGTCGCCTCAGGGCATCCGACGAGGGCCAAGGCCAACTTGATGCCAGTTTGGATCGTCTCGGGCGTGTCTTGGGCCTTCTGCCGACCGCCTTGGGGTCAGCTTGGGGTGGTCATGGGGCCGCTTGTGGGCAATTAAGGAGCCGTCTTGGGTCCCCGTACGGCTTTTCTGGAGTCGGGAAAGGTTTTCGGTGCCTCGCCTGCGTTCTCGGACGCCCGGCAAGCCGAATGAGGACAGAGTCGACAAGCATACAAAAACCATAGACAAATCACGGTTTCGAGCGCCTCTTGGAAATAACATTCGAAGCGCCTTCGAGCATCCAACAAAGGCCTGGACCGCATGATGCCATCTTGGACCGTGTGTGGCGTCTCTAGGGCGTTGCGCCAGCCGTCGTAGGGGTCACTTTTGGGCGGTCATGGGGACTCTTGTGGGCAGTTTGGGGACCGCTTCGGGCGCTCATGGGGCTCATTTGGGCGGTCAAGGAGCGGTTGTCCGCGCGTGTCCAACGGTCTCGGACGCGTGGAAGGTTGAATTAGCGGGCATCTGGCGTGGGTCAAGGCTAGCTGGATGCAGTCCTGGACCGTCTTGGGTGGCTCATGGGCGTTTCGCCGATCGATTTGGGACTGCCACCCGCCTGCGTGCACGCATTGGCAAGGATTTCTGGCCCCCCCCCGTGCCAAGGATCCTGGGGGTCGTTTCGGGGGGGGGGTCGCACCCCCCAAATAATAACATATGGAAACGGGAATATACGTAGCAATTCGCAGATGCGGATAAGAGTGGGGGGGCGGTGGGGACGTCGGCAGTTTGCGAAACTCTGGAGAAGCCCGCCGCAGGCGCCAAACACCGTTTTTTCGTTAAACGAATGTGGGTCGGTCGCGGGTGGGTCGCAAATGGGTCGCGGGTGGATCGCAATTGGGTCGCGGGTGTAGAGAACAGAAAATCCACCCCACAATCATCACCCCGACAAGCGAAGCCGTTTAGTAAACGCATACAAGGAATGAATCGAACATGGCAGGATCAGAGAAACTATGGATTCAGTTTGTGTCGGGGTTTCGGTTTTCTGCTATGCCTGGCGGCCCATAGGGGCCAGACGGATCGCGAGGAGGCGGAGGAGGAGGAGGAGGAGGAGGAGGGGC